AAAGGAAGCTACCAGACTTATGTCATTACTTTGTCAATTTCTCCACTGAAATAACCCTGTGCCCATAAAGAAGTAGGCACAAGAGACCTCTGAGGAGAGAATAACTTTGAACTCTTGAATTTTATTGTAAAAATTCATGTAGAGTTTTCATTATATCCCACAATGTGGTTAACAAACAATATATTTTAAGTTACTAAACATCAAGAAAAATATGATGCTTTTTAAAAGATGTTTGGTGGTTTTCTAAATTTCTTCTTGTTTGAAAAGTGCAGAGATATGTATCAAAAAGATACACTTTCACACATCTATTCTTTTTCCCCTTTATCCACTTGTATTTACCTTTCCCTAAATGTACTAGATAGCCAAGAAGGATGGTCTTTTTTTTTTATTTAAAGGATATTAGACATCTCTCCCTTTATATGGTAAAGCAAAAGGTGAAGGCACCTGAAATTTACAATGCAGCTATCACGTGGCAGGCACAGGGGGAAGGGCTTAACATGTGCTCCTTAATGTAATTCTCGCAAAAGCTCTCTAGTTAGAAAGCATCCCCACTCTCCAGATGAGACAAATGAGTTCAGAGAGACATAATGACTGGGACCAAGGTTCAGTGGTGGATGCAGGATTCCAGGCCACCTCTGCCTGGCTCCAATGCCCTGCTGAGTTGACATTCACCCCTCAAACAAGGAATAGTAGTCTGTAACTTTTGCATTTCACATTGGTTCCACAATCCTTGGAGAATTTGCTTAAAATAGTCAGACCCTTTAAGGTATTTTCAAGTCTGAGAGACAGACAGACAGAGTGAGATAATGTGTAGGTGCTGAAGATTTCTGAGGCCAACTTCTCCATATTTGAGCTGGCATTTGTAGACCTATAGCTTCTAGTAATCAACTTTTATTTAATTAATTGTAAAACTGTTTAAGTGGTATTCTGGTTTAGGAAAGTTCCATTTTATGTGGCAGCATTTTTCCTTCAGACCCATAAAAGTGAATGCACTGCATAAGGATAAGTGAGCATGTACCCCAGGGGAGGCAGGAAGAAATACAAATGTTGCATGCAAATTATGAACTTACTTGTTCTCAAAGCAAACCTCTGCTAAATTTTCACGTAGGATGTTATTTAGGAGGATGTTAGAAACTTCTCAGATTTTTAATTTTCTCTTTCACTATGTGCTGTTGTAGCCATACAAAGCATGCATGAATCATATCAGTTGGTTATGCAGCATAGTAATAAAATGTACAGTCATGAGCTCTGGTTAAAGAATAAGAGCATTTACACCATTTTTTTGTTGTTTACTGCTAGAACTGTAGGACCTAGAATGATATTTGGCATGTAGTAGCCACTTAATAAATATTTTTAAATGAATACATAAACACATAAACTTGTATTCTCCTTCCTTATATCATTAACCGCAGTCTCTCCTTAGAAGTAACCACAATCCTATATTTGGGGTTTATTATTCACTTGCATGTTTATACTTTTTCACATATATATTACCAAATTATAATTTGTTTACTTTTGCCTTTTGGGGGATATGTATGTAATGGAAGCATAGTATATAGGCTATTGTGATTTATGTCTTTTATGCAATATTAGATTGTAAGATTTACCTATGTATACCTGTATTCTGTTCCTCGTTATTGCTCAATTGTATTTTAATGAATGAGTGTGCTGTAATTTATTTATCCTTCCTCCTTTCAGTGGATTTTTATCATTTCTGCTTTTATAAATACAGCTGCTATGACACCATTCCTGCACATGCTTCCTGGTACAAATGTGCATTAGTTTTTCTAGGATAGAAACCTAGGATTGGAACTCTTATTACAGTTTTCATTTCCAATGTCCAAAAGTCAGCCCATGAGGCAGAAGTGAAATGTTCCTTTTGTCTACACTACACCAGGGTCAGTGGAAGCGCTATCCAAAATATTTTTTCTAGAAAGAGGAAGTGTAGGTAGGCGAGACCAGCCTGGTAAGATTAGCAGATATATCAGGACTTTAGTCAAAATGGGTTGTAATTAGGAAAAGTTCAAATTCTAAAATTGTCTTCATTATTTCTCTTCTTCTTCCTCTTCTTTTACCATTATTTTTGTAAGTGTTGTGTTTTATTGAACTCATATCTAATGAACAAAATATTGATGAATTTCTTTAGTCTTAAACACTGATTATAAATTTGATTGATTAGATTATTTTGAACAATTTGAACTGTATTTTAAATTGTAATATGGATACAAATTTCTGTTTCATAAAGTCTCTTTTTAAAAAGACCTCTTATTTATTCAGGTTTCCATGTTGTGTATCTAATATTTATTTTTCAATCATATGTTAAAAATTACTGTCATTATCATTGTCATCTCATTTATCCAAATATACCTTTATGACTTTCAAAAATCATTCCTGTCTTTGAGGTGCTTCCTCATCTGTAGCAATCGGCACTCTGCCTTACTATATCATCTACTATATTGTGTTATAGTTCCTTGCTTCCTGTCTTTCTTCTGTACAAGATAGTGCATTTCTTAGAGGCAAGAATAATATATTGATTATCACAATATCCCCAACACCTAATCCTTTGCTAGGTACATAAGGCTAGATTCTAGGAGTTGAGTTGGGTCCATCTATCTAATCTCAACCTTCAGTTTTATAACATGGCTAGTCATGGATTATGAATAGCACTTTGGAGGCAGATTTATGTAGGATGGAATCTGGCATTCCCATTTATGACATGAGTGGTCTTGAAAAGTTTAATTTTCCTGAACATCAGTTTCCTCTCCTACGATACACAGATGATACAGAGCTACTTGGCAGGGTTTGGGGGAAGATTAAATGAGATGATATATATGAAATGGCCTGAAGACACTTGTGAAAACAAAAAACTTCTGCCGCTTCTCCTTGTTTCATAAATGAGAATAGGGACACATTTTTTACCCAAGGAAATGAAAGTTTTAGCCAAAGGGATAATGTTCTTAACATTTAGCCCATTTATATATGGGAAGTGAGCTATTTTCCTGTGGACCTTGAGGTCCTGATAATTTTGGTTTGATAGGCAGACTCCTGCTGGCTTTCCAGTCAAGGTAGGAAAGGGAGCACTTGTGTGGGAAAAAGATAGCCAGCTGCTGGGTTTACATATCAGCCAAAATTTTTAAGTGCTTTCTGCAGTACTTGGGACTTGAATAAAGGCTAATATTTGTGTCTTATAGGTAAAGTGTTTGTCAAGTATAGCCTAAGAAAAAATATTCTTTGCTCTTGCCCTTGCCAGGGCTGATCCCTGGTTACGGAGGAGAAGATAACATTTCATGCTTTTTTGGATCCTGAGGACTATGCTGAACTTGATAATCAAAGAGCCATGTATGTAGAAACTAAGAGAGTAGCAGAAAGATAATAAGGTAATAGAAACTATGTTGTATTTGGAGCCAGATAGTACTGAGCTTTCTGTCAAATCACTTTGGGCTTCACCTCTCTGAATCTGACTTTCTTCATTTGATGTAATAATGACCAAAAAAAATTGTTTCTCAGAGTTGTTTTGAGGTATAGAAATCACCCAACACAGCAAGCAGGCTGCCACTAAGACTTATTCTCCTTCCTTCCTTAGTAAGGAAGAAGTGCTAAGAAAAAAATATGGCTATATTCCTGTGGATGAGAATATGAGTAATTGCCATCCACCTGAGACAGATTAACCCAGGATGTCACTTGTTGTTGTTTTTTTTAAATGCTTAGACATAGGGCATAGGAGAGAAAAATAATTTGACCTTTGGTTAGTAAGAACAATGTTTTATTTGTTTATGGGAGACTCAGAATTATACATCCATTAAGGTTTTAGGATTGGCTTTCTGACCCTCTCCTTCATATCCATCTGAAAGAACTCAGACACATATCTTCTTAAAGATAGGAAGTTCATACTAGATGACTCCTGAAGCTTCATCCTGTCCTCAGGACCCTATGAGTATTTTAATGACCAAGTGTTGGGATGCTAGCCTGAGTAATTTCCAGCATCACTGTGTATCATTGCCCAACAAGAATCTCAAGTGTAAGGATTTTGCTACTTTATATTGTAGAATGGAGGTGAGGGGATGTCCACATAATCTAGAGAGATGACTAAGGAAAGTGAAGGAATGGGGGGGGGGGAAGACCAAGGAATGGTGGTATGATAACACTAATCATGATCCCTCATTTGTGTATTCATGTTAAAGTCTTTTTATCTTTTTATATAATTTATACTCCCACTCACAACAGTAGTTCAGTAGGATGGGCAATACTATTCCTATTTACCGGTGAAAGTGAGGCTTAAAGAACTAAAACAAAGGATGGGGCGCCTGGGTGGCTTAGTCGGTTAAGCGTCCGACTTTCACTTAGGTCATGATCTCGCAGTTCGTGGGTTCGAGCCCCGCATTAGGCTCTGTGCTGAATGCCAGCTCAGAGCCTGGAGCCTGTTTCAGAGTCTGTGACTCCCTCTATCTCTAACACTCACAAACTCACACTATCTCTCTCTCTCTCTCTCTCTCTCTCTCTCTCTCTCTCCCCTAGAAATAAATAAAACATTAAAAAAATTTTAAAACAAAGGATACCAAACTGCTTTGTTGCTTAGTCTCTTTTGGCTATACGTCTCTCTTTGGATAAGGTAAGGCCATATAGTTGGTTTCATACCATTTAATTGCTTTAAAATTGTTGCCTGACCACATTTTAAGTTAGATACCTTAACCTCAGGTTTCTGTCTTCATCCTTCCCTCATGTAAACATAGCCCATGAGACTGGATGACCCCAGAGAACTTCTTGAATTCCTTAGCAAGATCTAAAAAGGCTCCGTCCACATGACAGGAAACCACACAGACATCATCACTAGAAGTAGCAGAAAAATCAGCTTCACACTGACTCAATTAAGCAAGAAATAATCTTGTTTTATAAATAATAATTTACACATGTAAATTTTCTCCTGAAGACTTCAGTCTTCTATCCTCTTATTTCTGCCAGGCACTGACAAGTGTTGCATTGTTTCTCATGTGTCTTTCCAGTTTGGAGACTGCCAGGGACCATGTCCTACCCATTGACTATTACTTTCCACCCCAGAAGACCTGCCTGATCTGTGGAGATGAAGCTTCAGGCTGTCACTATGGAGCTCTCACTTGTGGAAGCTGCAAAGTGTTCTTTAAAAGAGCCGCTGAAGGTAAGGGGTCTTGTACACTCACTTCTACTTCCCTTTCTCCTTCATCTTATATAGAGACACACCAATCTTCCAGAGCCCAGGATTTTATCATTTCAGAGATAAGGTCACTGGTGGGACCCTCTCAAAGAATCTAAGAGCCTAAATAAGCAAGTTTTCATACTTGCTAGTCCTCTGGCTTCAGCAGCCTTGATAGGACAATATATTCAGTGAAGGCGGTCCCATCTGGTGCTTACAGTTTGGGAGGGTCCTACAAATAGAAGAAAATTAATGAATAGAAAAGATTTAATTTCTTCCCTGTTTGTGTTCCACTATGTTGCATAGTGATGGAAAAATTGTCTTTATTAGAGAAGCTAGAAGTGGAGAAACTCCAACTGAGTCCCCAAACCATTCTCTGTAGTGAATATAGGAATGTTCCTTCACAAAGCCTCCCTGGCCTCAGCCCCAGAAATGAAGCTCTATTGCTCTTCAGCAGACCATCAGTCTATGCATCTGCCTCCTTCTGCTGCTCCCCTTTTGGGGCCTCTTTGCATTAATAGCCCCTAGGTAAGCAGGGATCCAGAATGATGAAACACTTTCATTCTCTCCATAGACTTGCCCTCACGGCCTGTCCATTGGTCCAGCACCCCAAGCTAAGTTGCATCTTATATTGGCTTAAGCCTTGACTTGTTAGTTTTATTTAGCTTAGGACAGTTCATGTCTGATCCTGTACCAGAGGTGCTCAGCCTACATCCTACAGCAAGAACTCCCATTTCCAGACCTTATATATATGCTAGTGACTCCTTCCTTCCCAATCAATCTGGGCTCAAACCTCTTATTCATCTGCTTATTTCCCCATCCTGTACTAAGGGCTTCTTTTCGCAAAGGGACACTGATAAGCAGCCCACAGAGATACTCTGCTTGTGGGCAGACCAAGTTGCCAAACACCAGTATCTACTCCTGCCTTCACTTTCCACAAAGGAAATACTTTCTTCCAAGACCTATTCTTCTCTTTCACCAGCCTAGAAGTATTGAGTTCCAAGTCAGAACCCAAACAGGCAGATTTTCCTTATGTAAGGGCTGTAAACCCTGAGAACAGTCTTAAAAGTGGCAGGTATATAAGCCACATCTTTCACTAAAATGTTATAGCACCCACCAGAGGACAACACAAGCATCAGAGAGCTTTTGGCATCTAGACAAAAGGTGGAAAGCAGGTGCCCTTTACTGGATTTATCATTGATAGCCAACTGGAATGATGATTGTCTTCTCACCATTTTAGCTGGGTGGCAGGAATACTTATAAACTAGAAAGTCATTATTTTGTTTTCTTCCAGTCCCCAAAGCAACAAGAAGACAGCTATAATTTAGTATTACCGAAAATATGCTGCATGTTCCTTCTATACCCCCCAAGTGGCCTATTGCTGCTGCTTGTGCTGGGATAGTTTGAGGTCCAGAGCCCCAGTACCTAGGCCTAGGAAGTTTGGAAAGAGACACAGAGAGCAGTTCCTGCCTTTCTTAAGAGTACTTACAGAAGGATGGCTGTCAGATAAGAAAGCAAGGAATAGCCCCCAACAACATCAGATCACCTTACCCCAACTTCCTCAGTGGAATCTGTTTCCTCCTTCTACCCCACCATCCAGTGGGCCTTGTCTGTAGAGCAGAGAATAAACCAGGGCATCCATCTAGAGACGGTGGGTCAGAAAGCCCAGACAGCACAGTAATAGTAGCCATGTCAGATGAAGAAAGAGTTCAAGTTAGCAACTGAACAAGCAAATACAAGTCAAATAGATTAGATTATATTTGATGTTACCTCTGGGTTTTACAGATCTGGGTCACAATACTGTTATTTTTGGAAAACAGGGAAAGTGATCAAGCATTTTGTAAAAGGGAATATTTTGCTGTCACAACATATTCCACATGGAAGTTTTGTGCAGAAGTTAGAGCTGAAGGAGGGAGGAAGGCAGAATGGCAGCTGGCAGGGATTCCTGGGAGGAGGTGTGATATGATGTGGATCTTCGACTATTTGAGAACAAGGAAGCAGAGAGGGGCAATCACTCAACTTGCAGAGCACTTGGAAATACAGCAAGGTCTCAAAATGCTCTATACCTTAGACTAATTTGTTAGGGAAACTTGGTATTATATTTTTTTTTTTTTTGAGAAAATGAGCCTCCATGGGTTCATGGGGCCAAATATTCTTGACTCTTTGACATACGAAAAAAAAATCACAAATGGATTTCTTGTAAAGCTGTGGATTCCCCTGGTCTACCTTTGGAATATGAACCCCAGGTTCCAGTCTTGAGCCCTTTGAGTGATAGGAGAAGATGGTTTTAAAAAACACGCAGAAAACAAAGCAAAAAAAAATGGCATTTTCTTTCTTCCTCCCGTCTAGAAAACATGGTGGTTGGAGTTTACTGCTGTTGTTATCTCTGTTTGAAGGCAGGGGGCTGTCTTATTATCCACAGAAAACATTTATTGATTCTGTTTTATTCCCCGCTTTTACAATGTGTCCTTATTGCTCAAATGGCCTTTATGACAGTGATTCTGAATCTGCCTTACTGAAACTTGGAATTCCACCTGTCTTGGAGAGAGTGGAGCACAAATCTTTCTTTTCCTCATTTGTTTGTTGTTGTCAGTTAAGTCAAATTGAGTATTGAGAGTGCTGATTACCAATTTATTCATGGTTTCGGAAATCTTTGGACTGGGCACAGGTACAAGACTTAAAAGCCTGGGATGTCAGACAGAAATCCATTTCTAGCTTTGGTAGTTCATAAAGCATGAGACTTTAATGCTGTCATTGGTGCAAGGCTCAGCACAGAGTCAATTGTATTCTAGCCAGACTTTCTTATTGAGGAGGAAGAAGAGAGGGCCTCATATTTTCTCATTGTCAGTAATTCTGGGAGTTGGGGGTGAGGATTAGGCTAGTCTGGGAAGTATCTGAATATTTTGAGATTAAAAATTAATATTGGTGCTAGGCCATGGGGGTAAAATCACTAAAAGCTTTCTGGTTGATGAAAGCTCAGTGAAAGTGTGTGTGTGTGTGTGTGTGTGTGTGTGTGTGTGTGTGTGAGTGTGCGTGCGCATATATGCACACACATGCAGTTGGTGGATGATCTGCGGGCTAGAAACAGGTATGAGGAGTGGGGGGTGGGATGAGCAGTGAGGTGACGGGAAGGCATACTGAATACTATCTAAAAGGCCAGGAAGTTAAAGGAAGGTGATGCCCATATACAGGAGTAGAAGCTTAGAGGAGTTTTAGTTGTCTGGCTTTGGATAATTGATTTCCCTCTTTAGACTTCAATTTTCTCTGTCTGTAAAATAAGGGACTTAAACTATATATTTTTAATATTCCTGTCCGGTGTATATTTTTATGATGATTCTATAAATTCAAAACATTGTCACTATCAAAACTATTATTTGAGCAAACAAACATGCATTTATACCTATATGTACTTTTAGTTTTGCCTTCCTAACAGAGGATGAATCCTAGCACCCATTCTTTTAAAAGTCAATTTTCAGATGAGGATAGCTGGGAAAGTGCACTATGGGTGGCCTAGATTAAAATTGAGGACTCTGAGATTGCCCTTTCCCCCAGCATCGTGACCATAGTTGGATAACTTCCTTTATTTTCCATTTTCTCATCTGGAAAATTGGGATATAAATCCCCATCTTTACCACATCATGTTTCAAAGAAGGTTAATTAGTTCATCATGTACACTGTGTGCTCAAGAATTTACTATTTTTCAGACATTTTCTAGTAAAACATTGGAGATTGTACATCCATTTGTTTTGTACACATGGAGTGCTGTTTGGTACACATCATAAAATCGAAACTGTAGTTTACATTCTGGACTCAAAGAATTACACCATCTTCACTGATGTTTACAATATGTCCCAATTTAGTATTCTTGGCAAATTTTATGTAAGTATGGCTTTGATTCCCTCTCTCACCCCAGGTTTTTGTGAGGGAAGAAATGTAAGTGAACCCTCCTTGAACTCTTTCTGTCCTTTAAATCCACTCTTTCCCACCTCAACTCATGTGGAATTGAATGTTACTTCTTGTTTGCAATCTTGCAGAGAGTTTTTTGTGCTTTTCAGTGTCCTCTTGACTCCCTGGCTTTTTCAGTAACATTTCCCAGGGGCAAATTAACTATGCTAGGAGGGTCTGCTAGCAGCTTCACCAGAGCCCTCATCAGGTACCTTTGGTCAAAGAATTGACTGATCCTGATTGTACTGATCCTAGATATCTTTTCATAAAGTTCCTCTTATCTTTTTATCTTTCTCTGGTTTTTCTATATTTCAAAGCCAGGCTTTAGATCAAGGGTCAGCAATTTTTTTCTGTAAAGGACCAGGTAGTAAATATTTTGGGCTTTGTGGGCCATATGGTCTCTGACTTGACTTTAACTCTACCTTTGTAGCCTGAAAGCAGCCCTAGACAATACGTAAGCTACTGGGTGTGGCTGTATTACAAGAAAAGTTTATGGGCACTGAAATTTGAATTTCATTTAATTTTCACATGCCATTCAGTACTATTTTTGTCTTGATTTTTTTCAGCCATTTAAAACCTAAAAATCATCTACAGCTCTTAATCCACACAGAAGCAACTGGTACACTGGATTTGGCTTGTGGACTATAATCTTTGACTCTTGCTTTAGATGGTCACTTATGTGCTTGCAAAACTGCAGGGTAAATTTAACTCTTTCCAGGGTTCTGGTATTTTAGTAACTCTCTGGATCATCTAATTTTAAGCATTCTTCTGAGTGGCCAGAGTTTGCACATCTTGGTTTTCCAAAATGTCTGGTTTGGTGGCCAGTAAGTATTGAGTATTTTTTACTAAACAGGAAGAAAGTAAGTTAATCTAGGAATACTAGAAGAGGGTACATTTTTTTCCTAATGATCTTGTAGATCACTCTCCTTTGCTATACCCAGAGAAATTGAAAATATTTCATATGTTTTCTAGACTTTGGTACTGTAAATAAACATGTGGATGGCTATGAAATCAATATGAGTGAGTTTTGCTGGATGACA